TTTGTTCTTATGTGAATATTAGGGTTAAAAAGTTTGTTCTTATGTGAATATTAGGGTTAAAAAGTGTATTCTTATGGAAACTTGACAACTGAATTTAAAAACACGTGTCTTACCGACTAGCTGGCCTAAGGAGTTATGAATGTTACTACTGAGGGCTTCGAGGTTCGCAACCTTGTAATCTTTTAATTCTTCCTTCAGAGTTCTTATCAGAGGGAAGGGAGAACCCATACACGTCCCCCTGAAGTCGTCCATATCAACTGACCAGATCATGACGCCACCGTAACCTGCTTGCATCAACCACTGGGCCTGTAAGAGATAAACTTTTTAACCCTAATATTCACATAAGAACAAACTTTTTAACCCTAATATTCACATAAGAATAAACTTTTTAACCCTAATATTCACATAAGAACAAACTTTTTAACCCTAATATTCACATAAGAATAAGCATTTGAACCCTAATATTCAGTCACTAATGTTAATAAATTTATATTGTGCTTTTCTCGGGTATGGAACGTTGAAATCACATTTTAAGTTATATATCCAATTTAGACTTGTATTGTTCATGGATCATTGATCTTACAACTCGTGTTCAGTGGACAACTTTCAATACTTTATAAACTAAACACGCTATCAGTATTGACTCTACCATCATTTCTAACATTATTAAGTTAACCAGAGGGCAGCACGTAAAATAATTACTGACGGTTCTTATACCCCAGTTGTGCTTCTTTGATGACAGTTATGATAAAAGATAATTAATCCCGGTATTACAGGTGAAACCGATAGTTAGTAAACACCATTAAACCCGGTACTACAGGTGAAACTGATAGTTAGTAAACACCATTAAACCCTGTACTACAGGATGAAACCGATAATTAGTAGACACCATTAAACCCTGTACTACAGGATGAAACCGATAGTTAGTAAACACCATTAAACCCGGTACTACAGGTGAAACCGATAGTTAGTAAACACCATTAAACCCTGTACTACAGGATGAAACCGATAGTTAGTAAACACCATTAAACCCTGTACTACAGGATGAAACCGATAGTTAGTAAACACCATTAAACCCTGTACTACAGGATGAAACCGATAGCTAGTAAACACCATTAAACCCTGTACTACAGGATGAAACCGATAGCTAGTAAACACCATTAAAACCGGTACTACAGGATGAAACTGACAGTTAGTAAACATGATTAATCTTGGTATTACAGCTTTGTACTGTCAGTTGCGGTTTGTGTTTTAGTGGAACGCTCCTGAAGAAGCTGTAAAACGAAACTTTGAATGTCAGATTAAAGAAAAATAACAAAGTTGATGTCATAAGCCCAGTTTTACTAGTAATAATATGTCTTTCATACGCCAACACGCGCTACAGAAATTAAATAACCGTTAACAACAAACAGTGTCTGAATCAAAATATTATATTTATATAACCCATTTACTACTCAGAATTATCTGTCTTTTTTTTCATATACCGAAAACGTATTTCACAGTTTGTGCTCGGATGATGTATAAACCTTGGCCTAATTTTCGATATCTTTGTATCAAGAAAGGTATATTTAATCAATACCTACACCTGAGGCAGTTTTAGATAGTTTAATGTAGTTTTTACTTTAGTACCAAACGGGGGATTCAATCAGTATAATCCAGCATATGTTAGACATATGTTCTAAACTTTTAATATAATATATATATATTCTTTTACCAGGAGTAGTAAAATGTTTTAATGTATGTAACTTCAAACCGTAACACTGTAAATTAAATGTTGACTTTGATCTGTTTGTTGAACTCATGCTTCTGTTTATGTTTTCTCCAGATCCAGATGAAGTTGTTTGTGATGAGTCGGATGGAATTATCTCCTACCATCGAGATGTGAAGGAATGTTCTAAGTATTTCTTATGTCAAGGAAAAATCCGCTATCACATGCCGTGTCCTGATCAGCTGGTCTTCAATGCCAATGAAAACGTCTGTGATTGGCCTGAAAATGTCGAAGGATGCATGAAAACGTGAATAACCCATCAGAAGTTAAAACTTTTGTCATTGGAGCACGTGTGTATAAAAGAAAGGAACGTCGCGATTATTGGTTGATACGTGATACCGATGTCACGTGGTGATTTATTTAATGTAACTGTGAATCTGAAAGTCGTACTTGGTTTATTTGTTTCCCACGATATAAAGGTTACAAAATCGCCCATTAGATACTTCCAGCTTTCTCTCGTTTTCTTAAACTATATTGGGAGTAGGGTTTATTAGGTGAAAAAAATATAATAATAATAAAAAAAAATCGTCACATAGAAACATACAAGCACACACACACACACACACATGTATATATATATATATATGTATGTGTGTATACGTTTTGGTCATTGTTTTTCAAGGTTATATTATTCTAAACTGGAGACTTCTTGTTCTGTTCGAACTCTGTAAAATACTTTTAACACGTTTGTAATTTTGATGGTACCGTAGATCCAAGTAGATGATTAAACGATTATTATTAACGTGAGTGGATTTCAAATACTTTGTTTTAATTTTTCTTGGTATATATTGAGGTTTCTGGACTTCCATTATATCAGTTATGTAATAATCCATGTATAAAGTTGTTTATTGGAAGATTCAAAACACTTTGTATATTTTTAACTCCAATAACCTTAAGTCGCATTTCACTCAATAGATGTCACCAGCTTCGTAATAACTTTTGATTTGTATTTTGATAAAAAAAAATATGTTAAATATAGTTTGTTATCGTGTAAATTTAGCACTAAGTTTCTGTAGAGTAGAATTTTTTTTTTTTTTTTACGTAATAAATATTTTTAGTTTGGAATCTACACCATTACTATTTTACTAAAATACCTTCTTTAATTTTTCTGAAAACTTATTGATTAGTTTTGAACAATCCTTCCATAACATAATAAAATCTGTTTCAAACAAAACCTGCAGTTGTAGTTTAAAACTTGCAAAAGAAGAGATTTCGGAGCGATCCACCCCCCCCTCAAAAACACCTGGTTCAAACTTTTAAACCTTGATGTAAAAAGTAATAATAAAAACAACAAACGAAATGATATATTTTCTTTCAGAAGTAATGATGTTTTATGAGTTAAAAACCCTACAGAAGTGTATTTATGTACTTATTGCAACATTAAACTATGTATAACCGACCTTCTGTTAATTAATCATAACACGAGAAATATCATTATTTATTTTTATTTACATTTTTTATAAAAAAAAATACAGATGTTATCATAACATCTTATTACAAAAAACACAAAAGATATAAAAAGCACAACCTTGGATTTATGAATTCCTAACCTTAGCTAACCAGAAAAGACGTCACAAAAGGATAATTATTATTATTTATTAAATATGCAATAAATCTGGAAAGAATTACTAATTCTAGCTAATAACTACAGCGACATACGGTTGTTTTTGTTTATCATACTGCGATAATAAAATATGTGTAAGCCTTTTTTTCTAAAACTTGGCACATAATCTATAGTTTCCATTTGTACCACCAGGGGACAACAAACTTGTTTATAAAAATAAACAAGTGTTGTCTCGACGAATTTTTACGTAAGGTGGCATCATGGTCTTGATCAGAGCAGCTTCAATGACTGTTTTTACTTCACTTGATTGAAGTACAGAAAGCCACAAAGATCGTTGTTATGTCTTGTCCATCAATATGAAACATTATTCTAAACTTTTCGAACGTGTACCCAATTTTTGTTTTGTAGCGACAAATACAGTTTGTAAAATGCTGGTAATGAGAAGATAAGGATGTAGCAGGCATTCGGTCAATCGCTTAAGTTATTGTGTTAAAAATAATGATTATTATAAATCGCTTGTGCCTGTCTGTCCGTGGTGAAAAGTTTCCAACCCCCCTAGTTTTTGATAACCGTCAAACTTACAATTCTTGGGTATGCCCGACAAGAGTTCTAAAACCCCTTATTTTATCCATTTCCCTATTTTTACAACTTTAACAGGCCATTATAATTTCCCTCCCCGATACTGTCTTAATGTCGATCTCTGGATATATCGCCATGAAACTTACAAGTTGGATAATATGTTAAAATAATTACGCATTTGTGAAACATCTGGCCATATTAGGTGTATGCAGTAGACTTACCTGGCGAATGGGACGCGCCATCTATGTGAAGACAAACGAAATAAATGTCACGTATGAATCGGTCACCTTTGCTAATGATAATAATTCAGCCTTTCACTACGCCGACAATTTTACATATAAACCAATAATGTCTTTAATGATTTATCATCATATATATATTGTACTTATTATTTATCTCTCTCTCCCATAGGGAGGAGATGTATTGTATTTCCTATGGTTGTGTTTCTTTTCAACAGTTCCAGCTGTGTACCACAAAGTTGAAGGTCATATACCTTGGTTTAATTCCCCAAGAAACCTTTCCGATTTTAAGGGGTCAAAGGTCAAACATTACAATTTTGATAACTATACATTTTTAATTGCTAATATTTTATAACGATAACTTCCTGCTCAAATTAAATGTCGTACGTTCAGAAACAAAGCGAACTTTACTAAGTATAGCTAACTCTTGTTTATATTGTTAATTAATTATTTTATAATATATTTGATTACTGTCAGATAGCGTTAGAAGTTAATATGACGCAGTCCGAATTGTTTATTATTTCTTTAGCAGCATTCAGCCACGATTTCAAGTCTTAGAACTTCCCAAAATCATAATAACATATTAGGCCTAAATGAATTAAATGTAATTGTTTTAAAGAGGCTTGACGTCATGATTTTCATAGATACACGAAAGATGGCGCGCAAGTCTAACAAACTGTTAAAATTACAGTATACGATTTTTGAGATATCTTCGAATACCAAAATAAATGATGGTGCCAGCTTAGCTCTTGTTTGTATCAATCTGAATGTAATAACCCAAAACATAGTGAAGACAGATACTAGTTATTGTTATTTTCCATAGTTAACACTAGAGAGAGCCACTGTAGTTTCACAGCCAGCCACTGATCTCTTTAACAGCTTTTGTTATTTCCCGATGAACAAGAGCACTGATTGTTTCTGGTGGGTCGTAGAACTTACCGTTATCCTGAACTTGAATATCTGTCGTTTTACGTACCCCAGTGTAAAGGTCAGAGTTCACGTGTTTACGTAACAGCATATTATTTCTGTATGCTTTGGGTAAAGGAAAGGTTTTGGTGACCGGTCTTATTGGTTCCTCTTGTATAGTTTTCTTTTGATAAGCACTGGACGTTTCAGTTGGTTCCCACGAAGCTGGAAAACCAAGACCACCAGTACTTGGTTTAAAGAAAAATCCCGATGAATCAACATATCTAACCTCGGTGTTATTCGGCCTACTTCTGGAAAGGCCAATGTTGTTCTCGTTATAATTTTCTTGTACTAGAGCTTCAAGCTGTTTGTCTCCTGGATCATTTTTGCAGGAAGAATCTTCTAGACTGTTCCATTGTTTACCACCTTCTGGTACTTTATTCCATAGACCCGTGTTTCTAGAATGGAACAAGTCCTCCGGTAGGATAATGTTTGGATTATTCCTGCGATCTTTTTCTGGACTTTGAGACAGAATTCTTTGATCCGATTTCTCAGAATGCATAATCTTCGACTCGTTTCCTAGTTTCATTGAATGTGGATCATTACTTTTCTTATCAGCCTTATAAGGACTCGAACTGTATTCATCGAGTCTGTCTTTTAATTGGATAAAATCATTACGAATGACGCTTCTGTAGTTGTTAATATGGCAGTTTTCCTCCTCAGTTTTATTATACTCTTCTCTGTCTTTGTTTTTTGTTTGTTGACAGTCAACTTGAAAGTCGCGAATGTCATCTGATCGAATCTGCCTTTTTTGGTTCCAACAGTTACGCATGCGCATATCAGCGTCATCCAGGGAACGGTGAACCTCGTGTTCGTAACCCTGACAAGGGCTAGTTTTTCTGTGGTGAACCTCGTGTTCGTAACCCTGACAAGGGCTAGTTTTTCTGT